GAGCTAATATATCTCACTGTACTCACTAGTTAATTTATCCCACTGTACTCACGAGCTAATTTATCTCACTGTGCTCACGAGCTAATTTATCTCACTGTACTCACTGGCTAATTTAGCTCACTGTGCTCACTAGCTAATTTATCTCACTGTACTCACTAGCTAATATATCTCACTGTACTCACTAGCTAATTTATCTCACTGCGCTCACTAGCTAATTTATCTCACTGTGCTCACGAGCTAATTTATCTCACTGTACTCACTAGCTAATTTATCTCACTGTACTCACTGGCTAATTTAGCTCACTGTGCTCACTAGCTAATTTATCTCGCTGTACTCACTAGCTAATTTATCTCACTGTACTCACTAGCTAATATATCTCACTGTACTCACTAGCAAATTTATCTCACTGCGCTCACTAGCTAATTTATCTCACTGTGCTCACTAGCTAATTTATCTCATTGTGCTCACTAGCTAATATATCTCACTGTGCTCACTAGCTAATTTATCTCATTGTGCTCACTAGCTAATATATCTCACTGTACTCACTGGCTAATTTAGCTCACTGTGTGTACTGGCAAATGTATCTCACTGATTGCACTGGCTAATTTGATCTGAGAATTAAATAGTACTTTATACTAGCACAGTGTATTTGCATGCCCACACCATCCTGTTTTCCAAGCAAGCAAGCAAACATCTGCAAACAGTTGCTAATACCCTTCACATTGAGAGAGGCAAGTCTAAAGTACCAGCTTTACATGTTCCCAAGTAAGATCATTACACAAAAAATAAACAGAAACAAATACCCAAACTAACCAATGAACAAGGAAAAAAAATCAAAAACTAAACACAGAAAAGAAATTGAACCCCAGCACAATCAAAAGTACTGGAAGGAGAAAAAAAAAAAGACACTGGGCGGTGATGTCAAAAGTAGTCCTTTGATTGTTAACTACACATCTTCTATAGCCCAGGGTCATACTGTTAATCAGAAATCCCATTACCATGGTGTACCTTCTTCTCTCAGTAACTTGCCGGCTTCAAATCTCTATTCTTTTCTTCATAAAGCAAATACTGCAGGCACTTGAGGTGGAACAAAAATTTTCAAGTCGAGCAATTGATTTCAATAGGAGATGGTCCGATTTTGTAATGCTGGCTGATGAGTGAACTATATGACCCCTGAATTCAAAGGATGGTTTGTGTGGTATTAATTTAATTCAGCATTGATACTATGTGTGGATGCCCTGAAGAATAGCTCTTAATAGTTTACATATACTTGTAAGTGGTAGACTGACCAGAGTGCGATGTACAAGTTCACAATCTTCCAGCTTTATGGTCCTCAAGCTCCTCTATTAATGTGTGTTTAATCACGGTAACTTTATTGCCATTTTACAAAATTTTTAAATGACATGTCCTCAGGTCTTGAAATACTGAATCGTTGAAAAATTATTTCACCTTTATAGCCGACAGTGACAGCACATGAAATCAATTTAGTTTCTCTAACACACTGATTACAGTGGAAAGGAGGAAAAATACCATTTTCCATACGCATGTTGTTGAAAGAATAATTAGAATGAAAATACCGCATCCATAAAACATTTTCACAAACAAAATGGCCACCAATCACCCATCTTGAATCTGATCATTAAAACAAGATGCATTTCGAATATACCTTCTACATGTCAGAAACACAAACAAATTTAGTTTTGAGAAACCATGAACAAAATTTTCACACAAAATTAGCGGCAAATCAACCATCTTCGCTCGCATCGAAATGATTATATACATTGTATATGTAAGTGCTAAACCAGATCGTGTCAAATAAAAATAATCGCATAGCATACAAATAAACGTTACCATATTGAATTGGATAGCAATGCAACTTAGTCACAATAACATATGCATCAGAAGAATGAGTAAAAATTTGTCATAGACTGCAGTCTGTTAGCAGTGGCTAAATTGTTCTGTTATATGCATTGCATGGTCATCCAGTGATGCAGTACAGTTTGCTGACAGTCATAGTATATAGCCGTGTCTGTCCTACAAGGTATGCATAAACAAGGGTGGTAAAGTTATACTGGTTTTATTGCACTAGACCTGTTTACTAATCATGCAATATGCACGAAAAGGCACACAGTAGAAGCTGAGCTTGGCACAGCTATCTATATTAGCTACATGTAGGTACATGACCTCTATAGGGTCTTTTATGTAATTTTGAAAAAAAATTGCTTTCATCTTTCATGTACAATTAATATTCCCTGCATTCGGTAACCATAGCCTCATCTTACCAATGGTTTTTTACTATAAGCAGGATATAACATCCACCTAATCAGAAAGGAGTATGCAAACAGAGTAGTTTGAACAGCTGATGTACATTTTTCCAGGAAACAGTAAACCTAACTTAATCTGGGGTTCATAATGTGCGTTGCTTAAAATTAAGATAAGGCTCTTAGTTTCTTTGAACGTTCAATTACGAAGTTATTGGAGTGTATTAGTAACAAGCTGTAACAAGAGGCCGTTTTTCATAACAAGTTCTTGTCAATGACATAGTCCCTGTTACATACCCATTCACAAAACACGCCCGCCCTACGCAGAGTCGAATCACTTTCATAAAATGGAGAATTACAAATTACTTTTATAGTTTTTTGAAATTCTCTCTATGCAATTTATGAGCAAAGAATGAAACTGTTTCTGAATGTTTGTACACAAGTAAATTTGGATCTTGATAGGTACTACACGATTTTAGATAGCACATGATTGGACTAATAACATGGAAGTAAGCAAGGCTAATCCAGGCATTTGGAGACACTGGAATGCCTTGTGTTTAATACGTTACAACATAATACAACGGCTATGTTTTTTTCTGTGCCAAATCATACCATTTTGAGATTTGGATAATAGTCAAATATAAAGAAACATACTCGTCAAAAAGAGATGGTGCCTGCACGGCCATTACACCTACATTAATCAGGTGTTTTGTGGACTCATAGAGGGGGTGTTGCGCGCAAAACTTACCATATAAAGTCCCGGCAATGAGAACAGTAAGTAGGTTGCCGTAGAAAAGTTGCCATGAATTTGTGAGCATTGACTTGATGTACACGCCTCCTAACAGCTCCACGACGCCTCTTCATCGCATTCTCCCGCTGCTTGAATTCTCTCTTGACAACAGATTCTCCAGTAGCCTCTGCGAAAAAACAAAAAAAACACCCCAAGTCAGCAATCAACCCTTCCTTCTAATCTACATGTACATGTGTAATTTGCATGCAATTCAAAATACGTGTTAGCTGAAAGGTCAATAACCTAATTTCTAATCTCCATGTGACGTGGTCAGGTATACAGTGCGAGTCAACCACAGATTTGAAAGACAAGGAGATTAACAACAAATACAACACAAGTCACTTTTATCATTGTACTGCCGATGAAATCATAAGGTAACAAACCATCTGCGCATGGTCTAATTCTTCAAACCATGCATTTTGTCATTTTAAAGGGGCAGCTGCCAATCCCTGGGAATGCATCATAATGTTTTGCATCATTTTGTTCTCATCGTACATTTAAGTTGTTGAGTAAATTTGATGTTAGATTAGGCTCATCGTAAGAATTGCTTTAAAATCATTCAATTGCCTTGATTGTGAAAATTTCAGAGAGTAAGTGATTGTCACAACCAAGCGTGTTTGACATAAGTCCCACACTACGCATAGCAACAAATAAGCAACAGGGTCAAATGTGTTGTTTACACAAAATTCAAATGCATTCAATCAAGAGGCTCATGCTGTATCCCATTCATGAGATAATCTTAAATTTGCTGAGACGTGTACCACTCTGGATTTTCTTTCATATCTCCCAAAGGTCCCACATTAATCTGGAGAATAACATCATGTCAGATATTTTGGGAAACAAATAAGTACAATAAAACAATAAGTCATAACTAATAACAAATTTGAAGTAGCTATAAACAAAATAGACATTAAAGACAAACACGGATGAATGAGGTCAGTTGGTTAACATGATTATTTATGTAGTTCATTTTACGTAGACTAGTTCAGGCTAATACATGTAGCTTGTACATGTAAGTAGTGCAAGAGAACAGACTCAAGTCTGCTGGTTGTCTCAATATAGTATTACAAGCAAGTGAACCTCTACACATGTAAAGACTATTCCAGAAGAAACAGAATCATGAACACACACAACATGACACTATATACATGTACAAGATCAATTCAGAGTTTAGTGTAAGTAGAACATGTGTACTACATCTAACAAATGGCATATATACATGATAATGATATTATCGACTATATTCATATAATCCGACAAGCCTGTTTTTGATGGTTAAGCACAACTGTAATATAACTCACCATTTTGTAACTTCTTGCCTCCAGCTGCCGCAATTGGTTGCTTAAGCTTCATTTGTTCTATAAATAAAACAAGTCCCTGTTAGTTTATTAACAGTATTGGTAAACAAAATCGAAATGAGTCAGCCATTTTGAATCAGAACATGAAACAAGTTACATAAGAGTACATGTAAATAAGAGAATAAGTATATTCCAATGAAGGGAAAGTACAAGTTTCTATTTCTGTTTTCTTTTCATGTCATGTCATGTCATGTTGTTGTAAAGTTTGATTGAAATCAGTCAATGCATGTTAGAGATATGGCTCGAGAACAGTATTTGCAATCGGCCATTTTGAATCTGATCTGAACAAAAAAATGATGGTCTCATGTATACAAATGTTTATTGGATGTATCAGGATGGACACTAGCTATCCATGTACATGTGTAACCAAGATCTAGATCTGGAATGGCAGATACAAGTATGCTTGATTTTACTGAATTTTAACATTAAAATGGCCGACATTTGGTCATTTTGAATATGATTGTCAAACAAATATATGTGTGACAAGGTATATGACCTATCTATAAAGTTTCAATGTGATTGGCTCCGAAAAACGATGGCGGCCAGTCGGCCAGCATACCAATCAAAATTTCCATGCAAATTCAGGGTTTGACCTTGATGGAGGCATTGCCTTGATGTCCAAAGTCTGCCTTGGTGTTCTTAAAAAATACAGGTACATGTATTATGTTATTAACTTCAATTCTCTAATTTTTGGTTCAAATATTTATTGACTTTTTCTTAAAAACAGCATGATTGCATTATCGATGTTTATCATATTTGTTGATTTTTACCACATAATTTGTTCACTTTTTTTCTGAAAACAAAAAATCTTTTGTTAAAAGTTGTTGAGACAGACTATTGGCCTATTTTCAAAGGGTTGGTAAAGGTGAGTGCTCTAGATATCAATACATAAAATAACCTTGTTATTGTACAGTACACGTATGGTCTGACAAAACTCGCTTAATGGTTCCCCGAGTATTGCTATGCAATAATTTATTTTTACAATATTGCTTATGACGTATATGTACAACTATGCAATGAATCTATTAAATTACTAGCTCGTTTTTGATAAGTCATACTGGTAAGACAGTTATGGAGTACGTGTACATTTGTGTACGTTTTCTTAAGGCATTAACAGCTATAATGTACACGCAGTGATTCAGGTGCTCTCCAAAAATCAGCATTTTGCTGTTACTTCTTCAAAGTGATCCAACATTTGTATACTGGATTACTATAACAACAGATACCTCCATCATGCTAAAATATTTGACATTGTACAAATTTTGCAGGTTTAATCATTTCGTCAACAGAGGGCACTGTGCAGGTACCAATAAATAAAAAAAGATTAGCCGGTACTTTATTGGTGGTGTTCACACTGACCAGATTTGTTTTTAGGACCTAAGGACATGTGCTACTAATAAGGCAAATACAGTATTCAGGCATGTACTAAGCAATATTTGAAACTGTGATGATGAAATTCAGTAAAAAATGGCAAATTTTTTGAACAGAATTTTGGGCAGGAAAAATATCAGGCATATTAATGTACTCATCCAGCAAAGAAAAACAGATAAATAAGGTACCGGTAATTACATATCAACAAGACATTTGGAATTTTTTATTCCTAACAAGGTTATAATGAAGAATCCTAGTAGTGCAAAGAAACACAATCAGATGGCAAGCGCCATAAGTAGAGCAGGCTGAACTTATGTCCCCAAACGTCAAATGGGGGTCACACATATATATCTTTATAAATAAAACCTAGATGTACATGGTTCTACATGTACATTGTTACATGTTTGAATCCAGGAATTTCAAGCAGAGACCCACAAAAATTGATTATTAGTGCTTGTACATGTGATTTACCAGATAAAGACGCAAATTAGGTTGTGAGCAGCCATAGTACAGACTTAGTAAATATTCACAATTTCTGTTATTTTTTGTAATGAAATCTTTTGCCCATCATGTGCAAACTTTGATTTCATTTTTTTACTAATACAAATAAAGCATGTTTCTAGTTTTTCAACAAACTGTAATATTTGATTTTAACAACATGAAATTGACGATACGAGCATGTCTTATCTACCATCTGAATTATCTTTTCTTACATCAATACAGGGCATACATGTAACGAACTTACTCTGGCAGTTTAAAGTACTATACCTAATAGTACAGTGTTTTTTTTAATCATAAACTTTAAGTGCTGACTTCTCACATTATTTTTTTTTAAATATTAAAAATTTATCAATACTCAAATTAATTTGTTGTCACCAAAATTTGTACAAGTATCCTTGATACATATGTGCGTAACACATCGCTTGTTAATGCAGTTTTTCGGCAATCCATTGACGCTGGCTTTCAGTACGCAAACTGTTGAATATACATTATCTCTATTCACATAAACGTGACTTAGTACGGTAAATCGCGTATGAACACATGTATTTACAAAAATGTATTCGCCGTTTAATCACATGTGGGAAAACATACTGTGAAACACTTTATATTTGCTGGAATTAATTTTCCCTGAAAGGGCTTATTTGGCATTTTGTATGGAATTTATTTTCACAAATTTTTGATCAGTTTAATGTGAAATATAGGGAAAAAACGTATATTCGCTGGATTTTATTTTCACGGAGTCATCCCTCCAGTGATAATAGCGAAAATAAATTCCAAACGAAAATAAAGTAGTCTACAGTACTCAAAACCATGCTTGAGTGCGCCAACACAAGATGGAAATACTATCAAATGCACATTTTTCATTATTTTTATCACACATACAGATAAAGACAAAGAACATGAAATCCACTTCCCAGATGTGTACGTACAAGCCAAAACCTGGTGAAGATATCAATGAAAGTACTGGCAGGACGATACAGAGGGCACACTCCAATAAAAAAAAACTTGAAAAATAATGAAGAATTGATAGGCTGTCATAAAGGAAGCTAGGCGTCTGTGTAATTAATTGAGGGCAGGCGATCATCAACGAGCCTATATTCTCAAAACTCTTGGTTGATTTGCATCAGTCTAATGACATGCATGCAGACTTGTTGTCTGTTCTTACTGAAATTGGATGATGAATTTAAGCCACATATTTCTGATTAATTATCATGGTACATATTCAAGTGGCATTGAGGTACGTGCACTTTGGAGAGAGAGGTAACAGTAAATTGCACAAAGTGCATGTTTTGCTACAGTCTTCGATTTCGGAGTATTCTAAACATACTGACCCTGAAAGTGAAAGTAACTTTGAGGTCTTCAAATACGTAGTATGCAACACAATTGTTTTGTGAAATCACACAACACATGCGTATGGTATTTAAAAGTTGTACTGCTGCATATGCCAAATAACTTTAATAGTATAGTACAGCATTTATGAGTTATCATTTTCAGATTCTGGCTTATCTGGCTGCACATTCCCAGTCTGGACAATCAAGGATTGAAATAGAAATTGTTACAGTATCTGCAAGTATCAGTTTAACATAGACTAGGTAGATGTATTTAATTCTTTGTTGTTGTCATTATCATCACTATGACCATGTATAGAGTTTACTTAGTAGTTAGTAACTGATTCTTATTTTGACAATTCGATTGAATTTATATTGATCATGGGATCTATTCATATACTAGTATATATATATATATATATATATATATATATATATATATATAGATATATAGCAATTATATTTTGTTCTACATGTGTACATGGTGTTCAGACTAGGTTTTAGGGCTACAAGCACAGGTTGAAAAGAACAACAACCAAGTATTTGAACCCTGACAACCATGGTTCCCAGCATGCATGACTTTTCATCAAAAATCGATGGTCACAAATTCAGATAAAAAAAAAATGACCATGCAAAAAATTGCTGTACAACACCAACCATTTTTAGTTGTTTTGAAAATGTGTTTTAATTTAGATTATTAATACCATTATCCTTGATTTAAACCGCTGACCGGAAATTCAGTGCGCTAAGATGTGAGGAAAATGAATAAATGAAAAAGCATAGCAAGATACTTTCAACCTGGGAACATGCAAAATTAAATAAAGTATGGGTACTTCTGAAAAGTATATTTATAGCCATCATGGTGGATTGCAGTGGATGCTGTTCAATCATCTCACCACAGTACTACATGTAGTAGTGGCAAATCATAATACTGATCACTAGATTTATAGCCATCATGGTGGATTGCAGTGGATGCTGTTCAATCATCTCACCACAGTACTACATGTAGTAGTGGCAAATCATAATACTGATCACTAGATTTATAGCCATCATGGTGGATTGCAGTGGATGCTGTTCAATCATCTCACCACAGTACTACATGTAGTAGTGGCAAATCATAATACTGATCACTAGATTTATAGCCATCATGGTGGATTGCAGTGGATGCTGTTCAATCATCTCACCACAGTACTACATGTAGTAGTGGCAAATCATAATACTGATCACTAGATTTATTCTTGTCTCAATGTAGTAACAGATTTTCACCAACCATACCACAATTTAGACCGATTTACGTGTTTCAGTCTTAAATCTTGTTGTGAATCAATTACATGACTTTTTGTGAACGATGTTAGCTCAAATTACATATCACTCACATTAAAAATAATTTATGACGTCCTCTCCTCTGTGGCTGTCAATTGAATGGTACCTCACACAACGTGATAAACACCATAACAATTTAAAATGTTTACAATAAATGAAACAAAACATGAGATAAACCTAACATTACTATTGCTAATCAGTGAACAGCCTGTTATAATTAAACTACTTACGGAACAAATCTGAAAAGCTGGTGTAGGCAGGTTGAGGTAAGGCTATAAAGTTTACATGTACTTTCAGTTTAATGATGCACATGTATGTCCGAGATGTTATTTAGGTTAACAGTTGTGAATGCAATGAGTGTATGTAATATGTTCTTTAATTGAAATTGATTCAGATAAAGAGGCTGGACTCATATCAAAAGTGAATTCCCCATAAATGACAATGTTATCGAATTTAAGATATATCGTTTTGTTTATA